CAGCGCGAGAGAGAGAGTGGGAATGAAAAAGTGCGCTGCGTCAACAGCAAAAAAGTATGCTACATAAAATGTTGCATGTTATATATGTGTTCGTGTGTGTATGTGTGTGTGTGCGTGTGCATGGGGGAGATAAAAAGGAAAACCCTGTGAGCCATGATCTCCCAATTTAATATTATAATTGCTACAATTATCATTCTCATGCCATTTACACACAGCAATTGCACAAAAACGACAGCGACGGCAACGACGACGACGCTGGCAGACAGGCAGACAACAACAACAACAACAAAAACAAAAGTAGCAGCACAGCAACTGACTGGCTGCTGCGACTACCCAAGCGATATATACGCCAATTTAAGGCAATTACCGCTGCTGCCTACCCCCAAGAAATATTCAAGTGGTGTTTAGATGTGTATTTGCGTGTGTATGCGTGCAACACAGGCTATGTACTGCTTGCTCCACCCACTGCAGCAACGCTCTCTTTCTCTCTCTCTCTCTCTCAGCTACCTGACGCACGCGCAGCGCTCACCGTTGCTCATTTGAAGGGAGCAGCAGCAGAGGACGTGGACGTCGGCAGCATGGCGTGCATGTCTGCTCTCTCTCTGCCTGACGTTGACTTCCGTTTACCGTTAGCGCCATAACGTCGGCAGCGACAGCGACTGATGATGACAATGACAATCGCTGATTATTATGCGCGCCTTATAATGGCTCCCATTTTCAAATTAATGGCCCAACTTTTTTCGTTGCCTGGCGAGCGGCAATTTTCGGACTATTTACGCTAAATTATGATAATTTAAAGCGAACTTTTTTAATGATTGCAACTTGAAACTTGAACTCTGAGTTAGACACATGAATAATTTTCCCACTGGCGGCCTTTTTACATGGTTCCTAAGAATACAAGAGCTACTTCTAATTTATATCAAGAAAACATTTAAATTAATTTCCAGCTTATTTAATTCTTCTACAGGCCTTGAATAAAATATATATAAATAATCAAGGGCGTAGCCAGCTTTTAGCAAAGGGGGGGCCAAAAAATTAAAATTTTGATTAAATAATGCACGATGCATTTAAAAAATAATTTATGCATATGATCAATGAAAAAACTTCAACAAATCCAACGCAGATCCATTTTAAGACGAAGTAGTGCGTCATAATAATGAACGTGTGGTCGACTTTATATGGAAACATTTTTTCTAGGGGGGGCAACGGCCCCCCTTGCTCCCCCCTGCCTACGCCCTTGTAAATAATAATAATTAATTCGTTGTTTTGCATGCACAATAGTGTCCTGTGTAAGCCAATTTGTGGGTGCTTGCTTTGTATTGGTTTTTCTCAAATCGTTCTTTCAAAGGCACATTCCAGTCTTGACCAGTTTTTCAAAAGAAATAGGCAAAGCCTAGCTTTAAAGTGCTGCAATTTGTGTTGGTTGTATTTCTTTTTAAAAGACCCACACATTTAAAGGCTGTTTTGTTGCGGGCTCATATCTACAGATCCAAAACATAGCAACCTGTCATAAACGTGTTTTAAAACACCGTGGCAGTATACAGATATGGCGATATGTTTTTGTATTGAATATATATTGGTCTTCATCTTCTGGAAATGTATTCGATATTGCATTCGGAACTTATGCACAGCATCAGTTGTTTCTAGCACAAAGACCATTTTTGACACCCACAGGAGATTCATTCTAGAAGGAAGGCTGCCCATGATTCAATTCTGAGAATGTATATATACCTATACCTTTATATAAATTAAATTAATAAATTACAATTTTAATGCAAATATATTTTAATTGGAAATAATATGAAGACTAGTCAACAATGTGTTGATGCAACAAATGCTTTACATCGCGTTCTCTAATACCAAGGCAACTTGTTGCGCAGCATGTGTACATAAACATGTAGACAAATCTTAGATGCATGTTGCAACAGTAAATAAAATACACATTTATTGGTAAGCTATTACGAAATTTAAGGTTGGCTATTAATTAATTAATTAATCATAGCTATTTAGCCGTTCTTTCAGCTTTATTTTGCAATGCCAGCTTAAAAGCCGTAAGCCTTCTCTGTGTTCCTCCACATTTGAACGATGAACCATTTTGTTGCAACAAATTGTTTACAACTCGCTAATATGCAGACCCTACTTGTATGTAGCTTGTTGCGCAACATATTGAGAAAACACAAAACATGTTGCAGAAGCAAATAATGTAAGTATATAAGACATTATCCATGTCTTGCTGATCGGTTAAGTCATTTACGTCAAATCTGTATATTCCTTTTTAAATTTCCATACATTGATGTTGGCTATTTACTTGGCTCGTGTTAAGCTTTTTTTTTAGCTATTCAACTGTTTTTCAGCTAGCCTCAAGGTTATGGAAGTCAACTGGCTTTCCCCACCACTGTAATACATACTAAGTACTTAATCGTCTGACAAGCTTCGAAAGCTTTCTCTAAAATGTGCCATATCTATAAATACTATGCCCGGAGACAACAAAACATTAATTGATTGTAGTCGAGAGTTTGATTACAACATGTTAGGCAGCTGTTATTTTATAAATTAATTTGTCATCAAACAGAAACAAAAAAGCCAAATCTGCATAAAAGCAACCCCCAGTTGTGGTTGTTGTTTGTTTAGTTGTTGTACTAAAGTCGTGTGTTAAATGCTTTTAATGCACAAACAGACAAACTAATCACACAAATGTTGTGATAAGTCATCAGACAAGGGGTCCCGGATCTGTTCCATATGCATGTAAATGAGTTTTATCGCCGGCCGACTAATTGAATGGAGTTTGATAAAAATGTGGAGAGCGGGTGGAAGCGGAGGGGAGGGTAGGGGAGGGAAGTTGTCAGTTAAGTGGCAACAAATGTGCAATAAGCCCCAACAATGGACTTTTTATCTATTTGGATTGCGTTTTTTGAGTACAAAGTACAGTTAAGCAATACGACTATAATCAAGTGCTAAACGATAGTTGACTTAATTTTGGTAGCAGCCCAAAACTTGTTCTTGCTCTTATTATTGTTTTATGCCTTGTCTAATTCCTGTTGATGTCGTTGTTGTTGTTGTTGTTACAGTCATTGTGTGATTTCCAACAGAAGTCGTTTGGTGTTCTGTTACTTGTCATGTTTTGTATTTCTCAGATAAAATAGCGCTGAGCAATGTGTGTAATTGTCGTTGTCACTAATTAAAGTGCTGGCGTGTGCTTTTCTTTTCCAGTCTACTTTTGCTTCACTGCCAGCCAGCCAGCCAGCCATTTGTGACTAAAACTTAAGCCTTGATGCCCCCCTTATCTGCTGAGTCGTTTGAGGGGGGAGGCGATTCTTATTTGCTTCTTAGCTTTTTATTTCTCTTAATACTACAAAGCTGCAGCTAGTGAGGAAAATTTAGATTAAAAACGCGGGCTAAGGAACCGCCTTATAGCTTAATAATCAACGTTAATATGTAAAAATTATGATTAGAATGTCGAATTAATAAATTAATAATAAATTAAAAATAATTGTGAGCAAAATGCAGTTGTCTGTTAATTTTCATTGAATAATTTTAGAGATATAAAAAGTAATGTATTATAGTTTGTAGACTCTTGAACTGCCTATCCGATCCGAATAAAATTTGAATAAAAAGTAGAGTATTTTTTGAAGTATCTGTTTTTGGAAATATCTAACAAATGCGGCAAAATCACGCTTAGCTTATTTAAAAAAATAAAAAACGTATTTTATTTTAAGTGAGTTTTTATAAACTTACTAACTATTTTGTAACAATGTATGGTGGCGAAACTTAGAATTTCACCCCAGTAGGTGACAGCTTGTCGTATAAGGCGACTGGATTCATTCGGATAAGATCTGAATCTGTGAGAGTCCCACCGAGTTGAAAAGTTTTCTTTAAACGTATTTATTGAGGTATCAAGTTGGCTGTGGTTGCAAACAAATCGCGGGTAGAGTATTGCCGTAAGCCGTTTTGCATTTTCCAACTAAAGGTTTTAAAGGTTAGCAGAGGTTTTAAATACACTTCGTCCCTTACCCAAAGGGTGTATAAATGGCCCTTCCCTATGCCTACAAATTTGTGCTGAGGAATATGCCACGTTAAATAACTTTGGAGATATGTGGATCTTTCTGTTGTGACATTCCTGGCTATTCATGGCCGATAAGAAATGAATAGTGAAGAGAATTAAGAAGAATACGAGAAAAGAAATGGGCGCACAGTTGACAGCTGACATTACACATTATCCTGGCAGATAGATGGAAAGGCAAATAAGATGAAAAGGAGAGGGTAAATCTAAAGATGCTAGATATTATAAAATTAATAAATACTAATAAAATGAGTGTTTGATAATTAGAGTTTAAAAAAATTATAAAAATATCAACTATTTTAAAATTGCAAAATTGGTTCATAAAAATATACATACACACCTCTTATGTAGACATATCGAGGATTCGTAAAAGATCTTGAAAATTGTTCACATCTCAAACTTCTGTAGACTGAATGATCCATGGAAGCAAGCAAATTGGCGAGCACGGCTTTACCCCGCAAGTATAGGGGTTATATACATATGTACATATGTAGCTTTTAACATGCAGGCGTTTATATAGTCGAGTGTTTAATTGTTGCGGATTCTTTTCGATATTTATTTTGATTATTATATTATTATCCTTATTCGTCGTTGCTTTTAGCGACAGTAACATACATACATACGTACATATTTAAATGAACAAAGTGAGTTCTATGTATTCTCACGGGGATAAGCACGTCTAGCTATGTGTTTTATTTATTAAGGTTTGAAGTGCTTTGTGGAATGTGTAATAAATTCCAGTGCCGAAAAGTTATACTTGTATGATTTAATATGTTTTCTAAAAGTACGCTTACACTTTGGAACTAGTAATTAAATGCAAAACTTGCTATCCACATATCGATAGTTCGATGTGCCAGCCCTGGCGTGTGAACAGTTATCGATGAATGGTCGGTCTATCGATGTGCAGCACCAAAACAAAATTAGCAACAAAAGCAAATAGATAAGCTGCAGAGTTTGGACGCAATTTAATAATTGGAACAACTTTAAAGATTGTGGCAAGTGCTGGAGAGGCTTATTATCAATTCTTTTATGAAGCGGAACTGTTCTTAAATTTGACACTAGTGGGTTTTTTGAGCTCATTAAGATGCAACAAAAACGGCGCAGAAACAGCAACAACAACAACAACTTAGTTTACGTGACAATTTTGTTTTGCTGTATTGTGGGAACGATAGCGACGCCACTGAGGTGAGTCAATAGGTTTTGCAACAGATTTGTGCACTCATATGCATAATAAAAAAAATTAACAGCAGCTCAGATTACCGCAACTAATAATAATAACACCAAACCGCTACACACACACACACATACATTTGTACATGCATATGGCCCGTATAGAGCACAAAGGGTTGGTAACGCACACACGCACTGATGCCGTGACTATGTAAAGTTCAAGGTTGACCCCAAAACCACAATGCGGGGGAAAAATCAATGCACTTACTCACACTATTGGTATTGTTTTCGTTATTTTTGCAGTATATTGAAGGACATAAGTGACACATCAAGTGGAGAATTATCGGCGGAATTTCTCTCCAATAATGGCCCACTGGCTGAGGAGCAGGATTATAATTGGGATGTGCTGATTTTCACACAACAGTGGCCGGTGACGACTTGTTACCATTGGCGTGAGCAGGATCCTAATTTCGAGTGCAGGCTGCCACAGAAAAAGGAGTTCTGGACGATACATGGCATCTGGCCCACGAAATTGGGACATGTGGGGCCCAACACCTGCAATAGATCGGCCATATTTGACAAGGATCAACTGAAACCTATAGAGAATCGTCTGGAAACCTATTGGCCGGACTTGGATGGCGAAGACAACAAAGTAGACAAGTTGTGGAGTCACGAGTGGTTGAAGCACGGCACTTGTGCGGCATCGCTCGATACACTGGACGATGAACTGAAGTATTTTGGACAGGGACTCATCTGGCGCGAGGACTATGTTATGTCACGCATATTGGATGCGTCAGGCATACATCCGGATTCCAATAATACGGTCACGGTACTGAATGAGGCCATTGTAAAGGCGTTGGGCAAGAATCCCTCCATCCACTGTCTGTACGGCAAGCACGGCATCAGCTATCTGTCCGAGATTCGCATCTGCTTCAACAAATCTCTGGAGCTCATCGACTGTGATGGCGTTAAGCTCGGCGATGCCAAATACATTAGCTATCCGGGTGGCACGGTCATCACCAATTGCCACATCAGCATACCCGTCCACTACCCCAGCCTTGTGCCGCCCGAGAAACGCGAGGAGGAATGGAAATTTCCGCTCGTGAATTTCTATAAACTGCTGCAGTTCCTCATGTGGTTCACATTGTAGGAAGCGGATGGCCAGCAGTGGTTTCAGTTTATTTTTATAGCGTAGTCTAGACCGAAATGTATTTTTGTTTTCTATTTTGGGGAGCGCTCTATAAGTAGACATTTCTAAAACTGGCGGGTCTTGGCTGCACAGCTGAAAAGTATTATTAAGATATTTGATTTATTTTCAACCCATATTGTTTAATTAAAACAAACATGATAAACTGTTTGTTTTTTATAATGGAATAGCTTGGATTAAGGGACGGATTTTAAAGTTTTCAAATAATACTATAAAATAGGGATTCTAGCACAATTTCTAGTTTCTGTTCTGAAGACGTCATTCACTTTTCTATGATAATGCACGATAAATTCTGATAGCGAGTAGAACATTAAAGTCACCTATTCAACTAATATCAAATTTATTATACTAATCATAGCTTACAGGTTTCAACAAAGGTTCAGATTATGCTAAATATGTCTTGATTTAAAAAATATTTTTAGCACCAAACAATAACTTTTGCTCACATAATGTGATTGTGTTCGAATAAAAGGGAAATGGTTTTGCTTTCTCATTATTACAAATGATTGTACAAAAGAGAAAATTGAGATTTTTTAACACACGATTGATTTTAAACTCATTTCGAAACGAAAACAGTCCTGAACATTTAACCAAAAACACTTCTACTTTGAAGTAAAATACAGAAATGTTCAGAATTCGGAACATTATTTAAGCAAAACTATTAACTTAGATCGAATTTGTGGAAATATATTTGAATTGGTTTTCCAATTTGTTTGAAATAGGAACTGTATTTAAAATATATTTTACATATAAAATAAAATTACTTCATGAGTATTATGATGTAAAGTTTTTAAAACGGTTTCAAAAAACTTATCCTTTCACTTTGAAATTGAAAACAGTTTTGACGTTTGATATAATTTGTAATGCAATTTATTTTGCCATAATCCTTAGGAATTGATAATAATAATAATTTAAAGCTGTAAAATTTTATGTTGCGAATGTGCTATATAGAATAGAATAGTTTTAATTATATTGCCGTAAGCCCGCGATTTTACTGCTGCTGTGTGGAATTGCCATTATAGGTGGCCTTGTCCTCCTCGTCCTTCTTGGTGTCCTGCAGACGACGTATATTGGCCTCGCCATACCGGGGCGGTTGATACCCTCCCTGGCGTTGCTGGAACTGCTGCGATGGCAGCGCCTGCTGGTTAGCCGTCGGCTGTGGAGACGGCCCTCCGCCTGGGCGAGGCTGTTGCTGCACTGCAGGCACCATTTGCGGCTGTTCCGGAGGCGAATCCTGCGGCGAACTGGGACGAATCGGTGTCTGCTGATTCACTTGGCCGGGCATAGGCATAGCCTGAGTATGCTGCATATTGGTGGCTGCCGTATTAGCCTGTGGCTGTGGGGGCAGTCCGGGCTGGGGCGGTGCTCGCGACATCACAAAAACGTCCATGTTGCGACGACCACGACTAAATTAGAAAGGGATTACAAGAGAGGTCTTCATTTAGTTTGGAGCAAAAGTTATGTGGGAATTTCGGATACCCTTTTATACCCACTTGTGGGTACAATAGTTTTCTACAAACATCTAGTTGCATTTTTTCATAGCTTTATATATGGATTGTTAATTTTAATTCTTCTATTTAAGATTTCTTAGCCACAAGGGTTTTATTTTAATGTCTGTATATTGCAGGGAATTGCTTTTGCTGTTCATTAGGATTTGGTGTAATTTTTTCTTTCTTGTTTTTAAATCGTTCCAAGGTTGCTGCTATAATAGTCTTCAGAATCCAAAAATATCTTAAATAATTTGACACAAATAACAGTATTTAATAATAGCATTAGGAATATTTTATCATGTGTTTTTTTTACACCTAAGATATGTTTTTCCATTGATAGTATATACAATAATATAGTTGGTAAGGAACTCGGTTTGCCTAAGGGTAAGGAGAAGTAACTAACTTTTTGAACAGCATTCAAAAATCTCCTTAGGCATGGACAGGTAGGAAAATCATTTGCACAAAAAAAATAAAAAATTAAAATAATGTTATTTCAATTAAAACCAATACGAATTCTATTCTAAAATACTGTTCGCCTGACAAAAAACATTCTTCAAAGAATAACACAAATTTGTTTGCAAAATATTTGCATGTCTGAGCTCAGATTTAGCGATTGCTGCTGGAAATCGAAGTTCATATATATTGGTCAGGCTTAAAGATCTATACTTACGCATTACTCTGGATGAGCACAACATTGGGTTGCTGCTTGTTCCAGCCAAGGTTTGAGAATGTCTGCGCAATGCGTTGTGTCACCCGATAGAATCCCATTTTGTTGATGTAGTCGAAGGCCTTGGCAGCCGGCGTTATCATGGCCCACATGACGGTGGTCAGCATGTTAAGGAGCGAGGTGCTAGTTGGCATCACGCGTTGGTTCTGCTCGCGAGTTAGAACAAGGACCACGGCATTGGGCACAAGATTCAATTCGGTCAGGGTCTTTGCCTCATCCTCCAGCTTGAATTCGCGACGCGGATAGCTGGTGGCCAAATAGAATTCCCGTATATTGCTGCCAGCGATGAGTTCACGCTGGACGTAGTCACGGACCGTTGTCAGCGGCTCACTCGCCGGGAATGCTTTGGTGCGATGAATGCCGCCTGGCAGGCGGATCTGCAGACGCGTCTCATTCACGGAACTCAGCGAGGAGTCTGTGGTGAAGCCCGCGCCTGATGTGGTGTTTGTGGTCACACTTATGGCCTCGCTGGTCAGCATATTGCGACGAGCATTCTCAGCACGGTCGGCGGCTATTTGTGCGCGTATGCGTTCACGGGTCTCCTGCTCCTCCTGGCGGTCGCGACGTATGCGCTCCTAGAAGAAAAAATATTACCTTATTAATGAGAATTAATACCGAAATTTTTTATATTTCGAGGTTAATGAATTGCTCAATAATTCATTTTTAATTTCGTAATAAAGTTTTGTGTTTTATGAGCAATGTTTTTCAAATTGTTCTTAGCACGAAAAAGGTTGTTTACTAAGATATCGTAATACGTAACGGTAACGAAGTAATTCTCCAATGTCGTTTCTCAGCCTCAATTGATCTTAAATTCAATTCAATAAATTCAATTGATTACCTGCATATTTTTCATTTCCTGCTCCCTTAGCAAATTTTGGGCGTTCTGGGCTTCACGTGCCTCACGACGACGGCGCAACTCGTTCTCCTTTTCGCGACGCTGCTCCTCCTCCTGTCGCTCGCGCTTCTTCTCCTCGAGTATTTTCTGCACCTCGACCATGCGCATCTCAGAGTCTGTGAGTGCTGAGTTGGCTACATTTGGTGCGTTGGCCACATTGGGCACAGTTGGTACCATGGTGGCGCCGGTGCCCGTCGAATTGGGCAACGGTGTAATCACTGGCGGCGAAATTGGTGGCAACACAGTCGACACGCCTGGGGGACGTGGTAGTGGTGGTGCTGGAGGCGGCACATCTGGACCAGGACCCATGGCTTGTGGTGGCTTAATGACAGTGCTTGTGTCCGGTGCTGCATCGGGAGAGGCTTCGACTTTATTGGTACCCGCTGCTGCTAAAGCCGCGCGCTTCTCAGCAGCTGCAGCTGCTGAAGAGAGGGGACGATCCGTTGGTTTGTCGTCGGCTGTTACAGAATTTGGCTCTGCAGCCCCCACTGGTGGACTTGAAGGCTTTGGCTCTGATATAACCACTGCTGATTTGGATTGCTTCCTTTGCGCCGCCTTCTCTGCCGTTGTCGCTGTGGATATCGCAGTAACAATTGGTTTCTCCAAAGCTGGCGGAGTGCCTTGTTTATCAGCTGCCGCTGCGGCTGCAGCTACAGCCGAAGTAGAGGGCTTCGAGTCTGCTGCTACCACCGGACTGGAAGGCTTAATGCCTGCTGGCAGCGTCACCGAAGATGGTCGTGTGTTTGTTTCTGGGGAAGTTGCTGGCTGGTCCTCGGTCGGATTCTCCGCCGCCGCATTCTCCGCTAATGGCTTCCTTTCGGCGGACTTGCGTCTTGACCTGCTCGCCGACTTCTGCGGCTTGTCCCCATCGTCTTCATCTTCAGCGCCGGCCTCATTGCGCAACTCAACGCCAATGCCAGCGGGAAGTGAATCTAAATCATACGTCGAATTGCTGATCGGTGGAGCACGCGGTGCTGTCAGTTTGCCATAGGTTGTCAACGCTGTGTTGACTTTATCGACCAGCTCCTCAACGCTGGCTACTACACCAGTAGCAATTATTAGGGGCGTGCCCGCCTTGCCAATAAAGAAGATTGAAGGTACGGGAACTACTTGATCTGTGGATTAACCAGTTAATAACTATGATGTGAATAGAATTTTCCAACCATCTTACAGAGCGTTCTAAACTGATGATACTCCGTACTTTCGCCTTTAATTTTAATGGCTACGAAATCGTCTGATTCCAGTTTGGTGCGGACTCGATCGTCATCCACAAATCGCTGCAATCTCGCCGACATCTCATCTTGACCTAAAAGGGACCACCCAATGCATTGCAATATATGACGTGGACATGGACCACTCACCTTCAATATAAACGACAAATATTGCGTTGTTTGTTCTGGAAGCGGACACCGCATCCGCAATGCTGCCGGAGAACCAATTCATATTGAATACCTTGTTTTACGGCTATTTGGGTGCTCGCTTATGGCTCCTGTGGCTCTCTATTGCTGGTAAGATGTTTCAAGCGGCAAATAAAAGCAATTTACGTATAAATTTTGTCTGTTTCACAATTTTTTTCCTGTTTTTGACAGCTGACTGCTGACCCTTTAGTGATGGCCAGCCGAGCTATCGATATTTATTTTTAGCATTTATATTTACCGGTTTCGTTTTTTCATTGCGAAAAGTCTTACATTGCTTATTTGGTACATAAAAAAAAGGTAATAAACTTAAAAATATGTGGCTATTGGTGATGGATGTGAATGATGAACCCCCTCCTTCTATTCAGCGCGTGCGAGGCCGTAAGCTAATGGTGGATTTTAATCAGTGGTGGAAGACACTGGAATTGGAAATCGGAACGAAACACATTAGTTTCCTAATGTTATTGGTTACGCCATTGACGACGACCCACCTTCGCAATCTAAGTCGGAACAGACTATAGAGCTGGCCGGGGTGGCTGAGATATCGCTGCGATCCAAGTTGGGGAGACGAGCGATGCGAACAATACAATGTTTACGCTTTGGTTTCACCGGACTCGGGCGACAGGACAAACGTTCGACGTGCACACGGCATTTGCGCACTCTTTGCTCCAGAATACGGTCCTGATCGACTCCGGCATTGATGTACGGATGGCGTGATATTTTTACAACCATCTTCTTTGTCTTAATTGCAGGGGCCATTGTTTTAAATGCTTCCAAATTTCCAATTAATTGCTGAATGTCTGCAGACGCCGTCGATTGAACGACAACTGGCAACTGCACAAACTATCGGCAGCTGTAATAATCGAAAAATTAAAAATTTATGGCGAAGCTGTGACTATGTCACCAGCATTGTCGCCTATCGATGACCCCATTCAAATGTATTTCTATTGGCCTACAAAGTATTTATAAATGATCTACCTGGAAATCAGATTTTCAGGAATAATTTGTGGCTATACAAAAAGCTTATTAAATCATACCTTGCTGATACTATGATACTTGAATTAAAGTTTGCAGATCTTTATTTTAAATAAATGTTAATTTTACTTTATTTGCTTTTATAGTTTATATGGAGATAACGACAAAAAGAACAAGAATTTGTACTATAAAACACCATAAGTGCTACAAATATGCAAAAACATGCTGATAGTATCACATATGTAATTATATATCTTCAATCTTCACAAAAACAATGAAATAGTTTAACAATCGAAAGCCCTGGTTTAAATGCAACCGTCACAGCTGCGGCGCAAAATCACTGTATCGGCTAATCGGATAGCCTATCGAATGGTGACTATCGGCCGGCATATTTACTGCTTTGGTACACATTGGTAGCATTAAATTCTGACTTGTATTTTGCCGAAATTTATAATTATTGTTTGCTTAATTTGGTGCACAACAACACAATATAAAGCGATAGCAAACATGAGTGACGTCCAGACACTGGTAGATATGGGTTTCTCCAAAGATCGGGTGTAAGTATAACCATTCAATTTGGCATAAGGAAAAGTCCACAACTTGTGTTTTTGCCCATCAGTGAATACGCATTGAAAGTGACAAGTCACAAAGGCGTTGAGCCAGCAATGGAATGGCTGCTGGCCCATGTGGACGAAGCTATACCCGAGCAACGCGAAGATGCTGGTGCTAGCGCTGCTGCTCCAGAGGACGACACTGCACCGAGCAGTAGCGGTACAGGCGACGATTCCGGCGAGGCAGTGGCCAAATCCTTAAAGTGCGACGACTGTGGAAAGGTATTCAAGGATCAGACAGAGATGGAGTACCATGCCGCGAAGTCGGGTCACAGCAATTTCTCCGAGTCGACTGAAGAGAAGAAGGCGCTCACAGAGGAGGAGAAAAAGGCACAACTGGCACTAATTGAAGAGAAACTGAAACAGAAGCGATTGGAGCGTGAGGAACGCGAGAAGACTGAGGCACTGGAACGGGAACGCAATCGCATCCGTTCGGGCAAGGACATGACTGAAGCACGTCGGCGCCTGGAGGAAATTGAAATGAAGAAGATCATCGATCAGCGAAAGCGTGAAAAGGAGGAGGAAAAGGCAGCACGCGATCGAGTTCGTGCACAAATCGAAGCTGACAAAGCTGCGCGTAAAGCCAGGTATGTAATACTTCTATATCTATAAATATCAATAGTAATAAGGATATATATATGCAGGGAAGCCTTAACAGCGGGTGTACCAGAGCCACAACCCTCGGTTAGTTCCACCACCACGGTCTCATCACCAACGGGCGTCAAATCGCCACCGCGCGACTATTCAGAGACTCGCATACAGATTCGTCTGCAGAATGGTTCCACACTCAATGGCACCTTCAGCGCCAAGGAGCAGCTATCGGCGGTTCGTCTCTACATACAGGTGCAAACGGGCATTGATACGCCCTTCAGTCTCATGACCTCCTTTCCGCGCAAAGTCTTCACCGACGAGGACTACGACAAGCCCATGGATGTGCTTGGTCTGGTGCCATCTGCCGTTATAATCATGACAGGAGTGGCGGCGACCGCGGCTCAATAAACCGATACGAAGGGCTGACGATTTGTCAAAACCGGGGCATAACTAAACAAAACAAAAAGAAGGGAAACCAACTAATACGAATATTTATATGATATATAATATTTAACGTCGCGCGATATTTCCAGTCGCCCACGCGTCTCCTCGGTGCTGGGCTTTATAAGTGTATGTACGATTTTATACGTTATAAAAAAGAAAAAAGCGAAAAGTATAGATGGAATTTGATTTATTGAATGTAAATGCAATATAACTAAGACTACATAAAGGGCTCGATGAAGCCCTTAATCTTTTTCACGCTACGCTCCGCCGGCCGTATGTTCAGATGTTGTCCGAATATCGTAAATTCCATATTTCCGACAAGCATGCCAAAAACGCATTCGCTTTTCGGAATCGTACGCAACCGATGATCCTCTCCCAACAGCTTCAGCACGTTCTTTGAGTCCAGCAGACAAATGCCCGAGAGACCCACTAGGGTTGGACATTTCGATTGAATCACTCGCAACTGGGCGCCGTGCAGATCTATCTTAACCAATTGCTTGCTGAACTCTTCGTAGCGGGGATCGTGAACCTCCGGCACCAAATCGCCTTCAGACAGATCGAGATGCTCACGTATATAGCCTTTCCAGAGCTTGTGCAGCGGCAAGGCCTGTTCATAACGCATTTGCCGGGTGGGGAGCGTGTGGAGGCCTAGCTTGGCGTAGTCCCGGCGGCTCAGTGTGCGGGATTTGTGAGCACGTCGCTTGCGACTGAGCTGCTTTTTGCTTTTAGTTGAATGCAGCATTGTTATGTGATCAGGTATAATGTTGACCTTCTGGCGGTGCTGTGGCTCCACCAGATCAGTCAGATATTCCTGCAGCGGCTCCATTTTCCAATGCGACTGCAATAACAAATGAAATACAAAAAATTCTCCAGACAGCTGTTAAAAATGCGCTTCAGTGCTTGCAGCGCCCCTGTTGGGAATATTCGCACAGCTGTTTGCCATGCAGCATTCGATTTGTTATCGATAAGAGGGTGACTGCTCCACCAGCCAGCAACCAGGCAAGGCTCTCGCGTTGCGTGAGCGTCTCTTCAGTTCTCTCACGACTTTCGGACGCAGCGAACAAGCGCATTAAGTTTCGGTAAAAAGACGCCGCGTGTGTTTGTTGAATAGCAAGAAAAGAAAGAAAAAAGAAGTAATACAGATATTGCAGAAGCAATTTGCTGCCGCCACCTCAACCTAACACACGGCAGCAGTGATAACAAGATAAATAAAATGCAGTAAAAGTTGAGGCAGAAACGTGACAAATGGAAATAAATATATAATAAATATTATTCAATTATTCGTGTGTGTGTGAGTGTGTGTGTGCGCCGCGTAAAAAAAACCAAAAAATCAGCAGTCGCCGCAACAACAACAAAAACCAACAGTTAAATTTGTCGACTGTGCTGCAACTTTAGTCAACGTCTCCTTATCGTCCTCGTCGTGCTTCGCGTACTCTTGTAATTTAAATAACAAAAAAAAAAAAATATCAAAAAATGCAATTGCCGCCGCATTGAGTATTTTTCTCTCTCCTCTCCTTACTTTATGGCCGTTGCTTAGCGTCTCTGTCGCCGTCATCGTCACCGTCACCGTCACCGCCGTCGTTGTCCCCGCAAACACACACGCACACTCATACCAATGCGGAAGAGGAGCTGTCGCCATCAGTAGCTGTCCCCACCATTGTTGCCACACTGTCGCTGCCACTTACGCTGCCGCCGCTCTTTAAATGCAATTTCAATAATTTTGCATTTTTTAAGGTAAGCAACTGAAATACCAACAACAGCACCAACAACAATAACAATGTGCAATTAGCATGCAAAATTCCACGTGAAATTTGTGCCCATTCCATTTTACATTTGTGTTTTCTTTGTGTGCGTTTGTGTTTCTCTCTGCCTGGCGTCGCGCAAAAAGTGTCAAGTGCGCGTCTGCGTCAGCGTCGAAGTCAACGCCGCCGTCAACGTCGCTGTCTGAATTTTTATACCCTGTACCCAAAAGGGTACAAGGGTATATTAGTTTTGTGCGAGTGCACATGGAACACACAGAAGGAGGCTTGGTAGACCCCACAAAGTATATATATTCTTGATCAGCATGACAAGCCGAGTCGATATAGCCATGTCCGTCTGTCCGTCTGTCCGTCTGTCTGTCCGTCTGTCCGTCTGTCTGTCTGTATGAACGCAAGGATCTCCGAAAGTATAAGAGCTAGAATAACCAAACTTGGTATACAGATTCTCCTGAGACCGAGAAAGGACGAGTTTGTTCATTTTTTCTGATCCACCCCCCCACTCCCCCCCTATTAACGATTTTCTATAACTTCCGTAATTCTTGGAATTTTGAACTAAAATTTGGTAGTCACATTAGGTTAGTTATTATATAACCGTATACCAAGTCTCATTATGATAGAATGATCGGAAAGAAAGTTATAGCCATATAACCAGGCCCAATGCACACATACATACATATGTACAAGTACACAAACACGCATAAGGCACGATTCTGATGTAAATGTAAATGTATGCATGCATGCATGGAATATTTTATATTTAATTTAGTTAATTAATTAAATTAATTTAGTTAATTAATTAAATTTAATTAATTAATTAATTTAATTACTTTTTTGTGGGGTGGTACAGGGTATTTAAGAGTTGAGCCTGCTCGACTTTAGCATTCCTTTCTTGTTTTTCTTTTAGCTATTTCTGTTGCAAAAACATGTGCATATTAAATACAAAACAATTGTTTTGTGGTATTTTGCGCTCAAATTTATTGTTGTGCGTCTTTGCGCTCTTCTTTTCTCTAAAATTTGAGCGCATTTCCGCAGCCATGCTCAAAAACGCTCAGCAGCGCGCGTCGGTGGCGAAGGCGGTGGCGTCAGGCTTTAAGCGACAGACAAGCTGGCAGGCAGTACGGTTGGGTCTGTTCGGTACGAACTAGTTTCAATGATCGGGTCGGGTCTTCAGCGAATGGGAAAAATGGGAAAAGTATAACCATAAAATAATAATATATTTAGGCTTCGAATTTTATTTGCCCAGTTCACAGTTAAAAAGTCTTTAAATGAATTAAGAGAGAAATATTAATATTCAATAGCTGCCTATTTATTTTCATAAAAAAGTCAAAATAAAACTTTCAATAAAGACAAAGTGTTTGGGGACAAATTTTTAAAAATTATTATATTATTATTATTATTATTATATTTGTTTATTTCACACCAAGGTTTTAAAAAAAATGGCTAGATAATTAAAATAGATAAAAAATAAACAACGTACTGAACTATGACTATGGTATTATTAAGTTCCAGAACTAATTAATTTCGATAATTGTATGGAATGGATTGGCTAGAAAATTAATAAATTTTTTAATGGAGAGCATTTGCTTGGAAAACCTTCAATCGGCTACCACTAAGAAGTTGTTATTTAACGAAACTATATTGTTGCTCAAAAGAGTTTACTTTACAACATTAAAAATATATACATTTAAAAAATGTATATAGTCATATATATATAATATGTATATTATTTAATTAAACTTTGCTGTATTAGCATTTGGCGTCATATTTGAGGTAGACTAAAAACTTAAATTTTTTTATTACCCAAAAAGTAATATTTTTGAGTGAAAACAAATATGGTTACTATTTTAAATACTTGTATAGCTATTTATCCTAATTTAGTTTAGTTTTCCGGCCCATCAACATTTTCTAATCAATAAAATATAGAAATATATGTCCGTTGAAGTACTTATAAATCAAATCGGGGCAAATTAAATTACTCTGCTAGCAATGTACATAAGGAACTAAAAGAACAATTCGTTCCAGCGAACTAGAATTCCCAACACTTGCAAGCAGTCTCAATTTCAGTTTCTCACGCATACATGCGCACACACACGCACTCCATACATGGACGCGCCCAGCCGCCAGACGAACAAACACACACGCACATTCAGAGAGAGACACAATTCATGCTAACGGCATTTTTGGTTCTGCAGAACTTTTTGAGCGAAAAGGTGCTTGAAACTAAATTCGAAAGAAAAATAATTGTGAAGAATTCATAATTGTTTTGTAAACAAAATGTTACCGTTAATTTAATTCTAATGTACGCTGTAAAATATAATAATAAAAAACTGTCTTGTTTTGATTATGATTTAATGTAAGTTACTTCACTTCTTTTGCTTGCAGTTACGCCAACAACAACCACAACAACCAGCAATTCGCTTAAATTGAGAAATTGTAGTGCAACAAAAAAAAAAAAAAAATTCATGTTAGAAAAAAATTAAAGTGTTTAACAGCCTTGAGCAATTTTTAATTTGTGCTAACTTCTTAGTAAATAAAATCGAAAGCGTGCAGCAACAGCAACAACATAAATACCAACAACAAATGAAAGCAAATCAAATGGCCAACTATTGAATGGCGGCCATTAGTGGCCTCAAGCGACACCCATTGAGCAATCAGCATCATTTCTACCACAAGTCATCAACAACAGCAACAGCACAACCAACACCACCGCCAACAACAATAATTTAACAGTAGCAACAACTACCACAGCTAGCACAACTAAAACAACAACGACAACAACAACTGCAGCATCAAAATTGCTTAAGAATTCGAGCAGACGCTGTCAACAAATTCTTTAGAGAGTGCACCGAAGAGATCAATGAGCGTTTCGATGTCTCTGGTACAGGGTGGAGCTGCCGGTGGTGCGCCACAGGGTGCCAGCGCTATTTTGGCCGCTGCCGCACCATATTATCAACCGCCAGCGGTGCCGCAGGATGTTCAACCGGATCGTCCAATTGGTTATGGTGCATTTGGAGTTGTCTGGTAAGTTTCTTTTCATTTAAAGTAACTTGCAACAGAGTTCAATGCCCCTCCCTACCTAACTCCCTGCCATCCCTCGCCCTCCCCCACCCCCAATCCATACATACGCCCCAACCAACCCTAGCGACGACAAACCAACCAACCGACCTTCCTTTCTATTGCCTATGCCTATGCCTAGCTGCGCATTTTTACCCCTTTTTTGTGCGGCCTGTCGTCAACAACAGTTACAGCAGCAACAACAGCAACAACAGCAGCAACAACAACAACAACAACAACAACAGCAGCAGCAACATAATTCTCATCCTCAACGTCTGCCTTTGTGCCTTTTGTATGTGCATTTCTCTACTTGCAGGCCCTGCTCTTGTTTTTGTTTTTGTTGGGTTTAAGCATTTCGAATGGGGTGGCTTTTCTATAAATTTTCACTCGGCTTGGCGTTTTTGCAGCTTGCGGCTCTTCCTCTTCTTCTTTTTGCTGTTGTTGTTGCTGCAGTTACTGTTGAAGTCGCTCGGAAAATTTTTGTGTTATTTTCTTGTTTTTCAATGATGACGAATTAATTTTTACTTTGATTTGTCGCAACAGCCGGCTGGTGGTCAGCTTACATTAATTGTTAAATTATTTCGGAGCTTCATTTTTAGGACCCGTTTACACGACGAGCTTGAGGCTCTAGATCGAATCGTAAATAAGTGCTAGGAATGCATTTTCTTTAAATAGATTTCACATATTTCTATTCAAATTCAAAATTTATAAATTATTAAAATTTGTTTTGGAAATTCTTTAATATAGTTGACTCAACATTTCAGTTCGAAAGATATTATTAGATAGATATCAAACCCAAAAACTAGTAATTTAGTTAATAATTTTTACAACGATCTTTAATGTTTTAATGCAATTGTTTTTCAAAACAATATTTAGGCCTATTAAATGTCTTTGAAATATCTATTAATTGTACATAAAAATAATTTCAATATTCGTCTAAGCTGCATACAAATTTTATTATATGCATTCAAATAATAATTAGGGATGTTTTATAAATAATATAGTTATAATAATAATAATTATAATAATATAGCTATGCCACTTTTTTTAAGCCATCAATAGTTTTCTTATTCAAAGATAAATGGACTAATCATTCAAATACTTAAGTCGAGAACAGTAATTTGAGAAATATTAAAATATAATTTAAAATATTATGGTTTGTGAAGACCCAAGTTGGTTCTTAGTATTGCCCGATATTGGAGACCCGTTTAACTCTGAATTTAAATGAATAAAAAATTAGCCTGCTTCATGAACTTTGTTGAATTTAGTTTAGTTTTCCGATTTGTACTAAATGGGATATTTACTCGAGAAGAAATGTTCCCTGGCATAAGCAACTAGAATTAAATTCGAATATATTACATTTTGTGAAAATTCCTAGTTTTTTGGGAGTTCTTCGTAATTAATCAGTTGTTGTGTTCCTACATAATACCTTATTTTAACAAGATTGATGTATGGGTTTTTAATTAATTTGTGGTGCTATGCAGGCCTTGAGAATTTGTTTTTAGGAACAGCTGCTAGTGCACTCTTAATTGAAGGACGCTGGCAACCCTAGCTAAATAATGTGCTACCTGCCATCATAATATTTTCCAACTACAAATTTCATTCACGTGTAAAGCGGCATTTCCGGCTGTAATCAAACGTTAAAAGGCAAGCGAGGCAGTGTCGAGGCAGCCAAGCAGACCCAACAACAAAAGTCGGGCTCTGTTGTTGTTGTCGCTGCCTTTATTGTTGTTGTTGGCGACAGCCGCAAGAGAAGCCCGTGAAAAACTGGCACACGTTAAGTGACGCCAACGACGACGACAACGTCGACAGAGTGCATAAAAATAGGCAGAAAGGCAGGCAACACAAGGAAGTGGAGAAGACGACGACGACGACTACGACGCCACAAAATGTGCCACAAGTGTAGCCCTAAAAAATGGAATGAGCAAAGCTCCAATAGGGAGCGAGGCAGTCAGTCGTCGGTTGGTCGCTCCGACAATTCGACGTTCCACCAGGCAGCTAAGTATTGAGAAACTTCAGTCCCGGTCTATGCTTTAAGTAGGATAAATAGAAATAGAGTCGTTGACGTACGGATTGGACTTTAAAAGTAATCATCCTGGCATCAATTCTAGGGCCCCAGGTGGGAGGGTGCTTCGGAAAATATGTATTAATATTACCTGACCACGCGCTCTCCACACTGAAATGCAATCAAGCGTTAAATTTAAGTGCCAAATGTCGAACTTGTTAGTTGCTGTTGAGCTAGTTTTTGTTTATAGGTCGGTGTCGGTGGTAGTTGGAGAGGTGGGCAGGTGCTGAACTATTTCAGAGAGAAACTTGGAAAACAAGGGTGATATTGAACTTAAAGGTATTGACTAAAGTTGAGAGATGTTGAAAGACATAACGAATACATTCTACGCAGCAGTATAGATAACTACGAAAAACTTAAAAAAAACTTTAATAAAATGATTAACTAGAATTTTAAGAAGTGTGAACATTGACAACATTGTTCATAAAGTATAGTTTCCAACTTTTCAAAATGCACTTTCTTGACAAATATTAAATGTTTAACAAAATTAGTTTCCGACTTGCTTGGCAACAAGGCAGCCGCTTTAATTCAATGTAGAAGGCTACGTTTAGACTAAATTTAAACGATGTTATGTATGCTTGTGGTAGTTTATGGATACTGAAAACTGTGTAGAAATTTTTAATATAGTATTATAATGTGCAGCAGAAAGTCTGCTTACTTTTTCTTTAAATGTCGAATGATTTTTTAAATCAAAAATAATAATTTTTGAATACTGATAATTGTTTAGATCCTTTTAATATCGTAATGTGAAGTTTGGCAACAGTGCAAGTCTTTAAATTCCATGCAAAGTATTCTTAGTTTAAGAACAACGCAAATACGATTAATAATATATAGAACATTTAAGTAAAACTATTGAATGGCCTTAAATAGTGTGAAATTTACAAAAAAAACTCGGGAATTAGATTGCCTTTATAAAGAATTGTAATTAAATTGTAATATTGAAGCTGTTTAGTGAAGGTTATTATCAATTATATATAAAATTATATTTCAAAATTAATTTTAAATGTCCTCTCTTGATTACTGAGCACTGAAAAGTGGCAACAGGGCTTTTATTTTAAGCAACGTGAACAACGTTTTGTTTCTCTCTACCAAATATTTATAATATTCGGTAAAATGTCATAAAAATAATAAATAGACCTTTTATGGTCTGTCAATTGGTTTAAAGAACTTTGCTGAACACTGAAAAGTGGCAACACCGTTTTATTAGTTATTTGGACTTTTCTTCCATAAAACCAAACATTATTGCGATGCTAATCGAACACTTGAACCCAATTACACTTGTTCTAAGCTACCTATTTTGTCTTTGTGTCTCTTGCTAGCACACCCACTGAAATGTGAAATGTAACAACAGGGCGTAGATAAAATATCTGTTGCCATGGGGGCGCCTGATGTTAACCATAAGATTACTCAATTTATAATTAATTTCGAAGAAATATCACCCATTTTATGCACTTAAATGCCACAGCTTGACCAATTAATCCTAGAGCTTCTACGAATTTTTCTCACTGCACACAAACACACACACACGCACACACAACTGAACTGGACAAACAAATAAATGCAGCGAGCAATGAAAAATGCCAGCCTAATAGTTCGACTTGCCTTGTTGTTTCGCCCCAAAGTCTTGGCCAGCAAACAAAAATATACACTTACGTCTATATGTATGTATGTGCGAGTATACTCGTATATAGTATGTGTGTGTATATAGAGAGACAAAAATAATATTGGACACTGTGCGGTCCAAGTCGAAGGCAAAAGGCAAAGTGGAAGTATCCGTTGCCTGTTGCGCAGGCAGGGACGGTGGCCCAAAAGAGCCGCAGAATTCAACAACAATAACAACAACAAAAAAGACGAAGGCTGTGAAGAAGAAGAAGAACAACGTCTTGGGCTCAGTTTAAAACTACCTGCAACTGGTTTTTGGGAAGCAGGCAAACAGTCAGCGAGCCGACGTCGACCAAGAAGAGGAAGAAGATGTATAAACCTTTTGCCTGCATATAAAACTTGCTCGGCTGACTGGCTGGCTAGCACGACTTGGAGTTGGACTTGGACTTGTGACTGGGCATTGGGCGCTTGCAAGGTGTCGTCGTCGTCGTCGTCTGTCCGACGTTATCTGACTGCCCAACTAGCTGACTAGTTGACTGCTTCCACTCGCTATCCCTCTAAGCCTCCTCTCAGCCACCACCATCTTGTGTTCCTGTTATTTTTCGCTAGGCTTTTTTGTCTTTGATCAGGCGCAAATCCTGCGCTAATCTTAGCGTTGAGTCCAATGGCCCAGCCATGTACGTTAGTTTTGCATACAAACACCATCACACACACACACACACACACACACAAAAACACTCTCTGCCATATGTGTGATGTGAGAGCCCGCATGCTAAATGCGATTCGACGCGATGTGGCTTAGCACGGACTCAACTCAACACGATTTTGAGATTCTACACTCACAGAATGGCTGAATTGAGATTTTAAGTTAATAACTAGGGGGATTGGGAACCCTTTTAGCCTGCTAGACATCAACAGATGAGTACTAATTGCACAATGATAATATTTTCAATTCAAAATGAAAGAGTGTAGTCGGAATGAACTCAATGGGATTTTCAGACCCCAGACTCAAAGAATGGCTGAATTAAGATTTTAGTTCAAGTTTTGGTAACTCTTGTAAATTATATTGTAAGCAATATTTTATAATAAAAATATCATCTTTTTTAATGATTTTATAAAAATCTTCCATAAAAATCTATATAATATTTAATAAAATATTTATAAAAATAATAAATGCAATTTTAAAATACGGCTTGTAATGCTTTCCAAATTTGTAGAGTGTTGTTTAAAACATTTATAGCATCATATTACTAGTTGGCTTTATACTTAAGCACAATATTATTCAAAGTTCTAAAATTAC